TTAGTTTGGGGTTGAACAGATGTGGCGCCGCCACCGGAGAAAACAAGGGCGGCGCTAGGGTTTCCAACTGCGATGGGATTTTTGGAGAGATATAGGGGGATTCGAGGGAAGATGGTTGGAGATTTGGAAAGAGGGGGTCAAGGGGGTTCTAGGGTGTAAATTTGGGTGCATTTGGCCGCCGGCCGCCGCCGTGGGCGATTTCCGGCGGGCGGCGGATGGTGGCTTAGGGCGGCGCATGGTCGGAGTGTTTGGGGTTCTGAGGGTGTTGTGTGAGAGACGGTTTGGGGGGGGGGGGGTAGGGGTGTTTAGGACATATATATATATATATTTATGTGCTCCTGAGTTCCGGACCGTTGGATTAGTAAGATCCAACGGTCATGATTAAACATGCCCAATACGGGGTCGTTTGGATTATTAGGTGGGGGGAGACCGGGTCAGGGATGGTTTTGGGCCGGGTATGGGGCGATTGACCGGGTATTTGATGGGTTTTGGTTTGGGCTGGCCCAGAAATTGGGTCTTTTTATTAAGACCTTTATTCCTTTTCATTTTTTTTTCATTTTTCAGATTTTGTTAAATACAAAATTAAAATAAAAAGACCTGATTTAATTCCAAAACTAAACTAATTGTTTTCTCAAAGATTAATTAAGTCCTAAATTAAAAAGAAAACTATAATAAATTTGAAAATTAAAAAGTAAAAATGCAAAATGAACTATTTTTGTTGTTTTCTTTTCATTTTTGTAATATTAAATAACTAATTATCCTAAAAAATATAAAATTGGGTCCTAAATGCAAATGCACTATTTTTGTATTTTTTTATGAATTATATAAATTAAAAATGCGCACAAAAATGCAAACAAACACGAAAAATTATGCAATCAATTCCTAAAAAATCAAATAATTAAAGGAAAAATCCTAAATCTAAGAATTCTGTAGGAGTAAATCATGCAAGGCAAAAATCACGTGCTCACAACATGCCACATAAGCAACATGTATTTACTTGACACACTTAATGGCCTCTTGAAGTGTCTAAATGATAAAGGGGTCAGTTGAAGTGTTTGTGTGATCGTTGGGGACAACTTAAAGGGGGCGTTTATGTATTTCGCCTAAAAAAAATCAAACAATTTGAAACATGAGTTTGAAAAGCCAGCCTGGTATAATATGGACATGGGATCTATCGCTCTATTGGGATTCAGAAGGAAATTGGTGAAAAGAAAAAGGCTAGAATGTTTTTAGCCATAAAGCCAATTTATTATTACTGATTAAGCATGATGTCAGATAACGAGGCTTCCAAGCCAAGTTAGTCAATTAAGTAGAAATGACACCAGATAGCCACTCTAAAGGGCTACTATTTAAAAATTAGTAGTGTATCCTGAATTTCAGTCTTTCAATTTAATTTTTAAGGCAAAAATGTCTTGAATTTTCCAGATTTTTAGTTTAAATTCAGGACAAAATAAGTACTAGCTAACCTCTAATAGCATTCCTGAGAATGGCTATCTGTGCACTTGCCCCGTCAATTAATTGGTATACTCATATATTGGTGTAAAACTTAGAATAGTTGATGTTCACCTTATTTTGCTCTCCTTGCCTTCCAAATTAATAGCTTGTTTGGCCAAGTTTTTTTTTAGTCAAAAGTATTTTTTCTTCTTTTATAAGTGCTATTTTTAAAAAATTAAAGTGTTTGGCCATGTTTTTAGAAGGACAAAAGTGTTTTTGAGTAGAATCAGAAAAAAGTTTTGAGAAAAATACACTTAAAAGTATTTTTTAAAATATTGACCAAATACTAATTACTGTTTGAAAATTGGAAGTGTTGTTTAAATTAATTAATCAAATACAAAGTATTTCACATCAAAAGTCAAAAAATATACTACTCCTATTTTTTAAAATAAGCTAGAAACTTGGCCAATCTGGCTATAGGTATGGTGAAAAAGAGGTCAATGAAATGAATAGATAGTCAGAATTTTAATCTTAAACAAACATTTGAATTTTGTTGATCAGATAGCAAAGTTTCTCTATCAGGGCGGGGAGTAGGTGGGCAGAGAGTGAAGAAGGCAAAAAAGATGGGGGAAGAAAGTTCAAAACCCAACGATTTATATACAAAAGACACAATCATCTCCGAAGAATTATCAGAGGCGGCGGCTTCTTTTGTGGATCATATCTTCCGCCATGTGTTGTCACTCGACGCACCCAACTTTCCGCCCCAACATGATGCTAAAGACTCCTTCTCTGAACTCACTCGCGGCTGCCTCAAAGTCCACGACATCCAGCCTGGGAAAGTCTACTGCATTCTTTCTGTCAAACCTGCTATCTCGGTAATTCATTTCTAAAGTTTTAACTTTTATAGCATCTTTTTTCTGTATTCTTTTCCGAGGATGGAATCTTCAATTCTATTTAGTTTTGGGTTAAGTTCTAGGAAAACCCCTTTTAAAATTTTAGCTTCCCAGTTCAATGGAATAAAGAATTTCCCAAATTATTGGAAGGGTTGAGAGCATTGACGTTCTGGCCTGGGTGCCGGGTGCATAAAGCATACACCTCTTTATGCAATTTATTGAAGTATTGAAGGATCATCCCGTTTGGAATTTATTGCTTGAGTCTGTTTTTTTGATACAGTTGCTGAATTTCAGAGAAGAAGAAGCTAACTAGGGCTAAGCTAAAGCTAATAAGAAAAGGAATTAAGACAAATAAAATAAAAGGGTTTTACGTATTCATAAGCCTC